TATATATAACTACAACAACACAAATACTTTATATATAACTACAACACCTATTAGATGCATTGTGATGAAATGTGGATCAGACGTTCATGCTCCCCAGAGGATGAAATGTAAAAGTACTGCAGATATAACAACATTCCCAGCAGCCTCAGCTGATGAGCAAGTGTTAGCATGCTAACACGCTAAGCTAAGATGGTGAACTTGGTAAACATTAGCGTGTTAGCATCCTGATGCTAGGACGTTCATGTTGTTGTTTCTATCAGGAATAAAGGCTTCATCCCGAGCAACTACGTGACGGAGAAAAACAGAATCGAGGCAAACTCGTGAGTTTTATTATACTGTTCATATTTGTTTCATATTTGTTTGTTAAACAAAAGGTTGTTGTTTTTTTAACATTGACATTGTTAAAAATGTATTCTTTATTGATCAAAAGGCAACAGTTAACCTCTGGATTGTGTTTGTGTTTCCTTCCTGCAGGTGGTACTGCAAGAACATCACCAGGACAGAAGCTGAGCAGCTGCTGAGACAGGAGGTATCTACCTGTCTGTCTGTCCACCTACCTGTCTGTCCACCTACCTGTCTGTCCACCTACCTGTTGATTAGCCAGACAGCCTGGTCTACCTGTCTGTGTACCTGGTTCAGTATTTGCCTGTGTATATATTCCGGGTCATAGGTATCTGACAGAATCTCACTGCTGAAACAATTATTCGATTGTCAGAAAAATAATCAGCAACTATCACGATAATCGTTTGATTAATTTTCCAGCGAAAATTCCGAAATATTCACTAGTTCCAGCTTCTGAAATGTGTTGATTCACTGCTTTTATGTGTCATGTTATTGTAAACTGAATATCTTGTAGTTTGGGACGATTAGTCGAACAAAACCAGCAATATAAAGACATCACCTTCAGCCTGTCTCTGACATATTACAGACCATGACCGACAGATTAACGGATGATGAAAGTAACTTAGTTACTTAGTTAGTTAAAGTATTTCTGTTTGTCTTCCAGGACAGAGAGGGGGGTTTCGTGGTGCGGGAGTCCAGTCAGAAGGGAGTCTACACCGTCTCTGTCTATACCAAACCATCCAGGTGATTCACAGCATGTACTGTTAAAATGACACGGCAGAAACACACATTAATACAGTTAATCTTTACCTTACACTCAACTCGTCTGTGTCTGTTGTGTGTGCAGTGCTGTCGGGGATATTCGGCACTACCAGATCAAAATAAGTGACGCAGGACAGTTCTTCCTGGCTGAAAAACACACCTTTACCTCCATACCTGAAGTGATACACTACCACGAGCACAACGCAGCAGGTTCATGCCCTCTCTGATGCTACGGTCCAGCGCTGCGTATAAAGCTTCGGCTGATGGTTCACTACCTGTGTGCAGGTCTGGTGACCCGGTTGCGGTATGCAGTGGGTCCAATGGGAAGGTGTGTCCCCGCCACCGCAGGATTCAGCTCAGGTGAACACATGAACACTCACATTTCATTGTGATTAAGCTCCTTAGTATAGCGCTCATAGACACTATGTAAACATGTAGTAAAGGGTTTGTAACACATTGTAATGTATTTATTTGTCAACAACTTGCCTCCTTTTCTTTCTCCTCCTCCTTCTTCTTCTTCTTCTCCTTTTCCTCCTTTTCCTTTCCTCATTGCCCTCCTTTTGCTCCTTCACCTCCTTCTTCTTCTTTTCCTCCTTCTTCTTTTCCTTCCTCTCTTTCTCCTTCTCCTCCTTCCTCATTTTCCTCCTTCTTTTCCTTTTCCTTTTCCTCCATCCTTCCTTCCTTCTCCTCCCTCCTTCCTTCCTTCCTTCCTTCCTTCCTCCCTCCAGAGAAGTGGGAGATCAACCGCAGTGAGTTGATGTTCATGAAGGAGCTGGGCAGCGGTCAGTTTGGCGTGGTGAGGCTCGGCAAGTGGAGGGCTCAGCACCGAGTCGCCATCAAGGCCATCAGAGAGGGAGCCATGTACGAGGAGGACTTCGTCGAGGAGGCTAAAGTCATGATGTAAGGAGGGAGGAGAGGAGGAGAGGAGGGAGGAGAGGAGGAACAGGACAGACAGTTTAAGTTTAAGTGGAACTGTGTGTTGTGTCTCCCAGGAGGCTGTGCCACCCTAAACTGGTGCAGCTGTACGGTGTTTGCCTGGAGCAGCGTCCGCTGCTCATCGTGGCCGAGTTCATGGTGAACGGCTGCCTGCTGAACTTCCTGCGGCAGAAGAGCCGTGCCCTGAAGGAGGCGTGGCTTCTGTCCATGTGCCAGGACGTGTGTGAGGGCATGGAGTACCTGGAGGCTCAGAGCTTCATCCACAGAGATCTGGTGAGACAGTGGGCGGAAGAAGTATTCAGATGGTACTAATACCACAAAAACACTGAAGTATGTACGTCGCTGTCCTATGAGAACAATATGTACCTCTGAGATGTAGTACAGTACAAAGTACAATATGTACCTCTGAGATGTAGTACAGTACAAAGTACAATATGTACCTCTGAGGTATAATACAGTATAAAGTACAATATGTACCTCTGAGGTGTAGTACAGTATAAAGTACAATATGTACCTCTGAGGTATAATACAGTATAAAGTACAATATGTACCTCTGAGGTATAATACAGTATAAAGTACAATATGTATCTCTGAGATGTAGTAGGCTACAGTATAAAGTACAATATGTACCTCTAAGGTGTAGTACAGTATAAAGTACAATATGTACCTCTGAGGTATAATACAGTATAAAGTACAATATGTACCATTTAAAAGTGAATATTTAGATGAACGTGTGGCTTCTCCTCTCCCGCCACCTAGTGGTCACAATGCTGAGTTGCATATCTGAGGTTTCTGGTTGTTTCTCTCCTCCAGGCAGCCAGGAACTGTCTGGTCAATGACCTCAATGTTGTGAAGGTCTGCGACTTTGGGATGACCAGGTATGGCTGCCTCGTTATTTCAAGTTTGAAATTCCTAATGTTCATGTTTTGGTTAAGATACGACAGCCTTTGACAGATCCGTGCTAGCTGTTTCCCCCGAGTGTTAACCGATGTGTTGTGTTTCAGGTGTGCTCCGGCAGTAGAAGGGTTCTGACTCTGTGCTCTTGTTTGCAGGTACGTTCTAGACAACCAGTACACCAGTTCAAGTGGGGCCAAGTTCCCCGTGAAGTGGTCTCCTCCGGAGGTTCTCCACTTCAGTAAATACAGCAGCAAGTCTGACGTCTGGTCCTTCGGTGAGGAACCAATTTATAGACCCTTAAACAGCCAAATGCAAGTCTTCACGGTGTTCGCTGGAGGCAGGAATACTAACAGCAGTGGTAGTATTAGTAGGTTGGTAGTATTAGTAGGTTGGTAGTATTAGGTTCATGTACCTGCTGGTGGTGTGTGCAGGTGTGGTGATGTGGGAGATCTACTCGGAGGGTCGGACTCCGTTTGAAAACCGCTCCAACCTGGACGTGGTCAACGAGATCACCAGAGGAGTCCGTCTGTACCGACCGCAGCGAGCCTCACCGCCGCTCTTCACCATCATGTACCGCTGCTGGCACGAGGTACTTACCGAGTACTCTCAAGTACTCACTCACTCACTCACTCACTCATGTTACAGTAATATGATATCATGGATGGAACAGAAAGTAATCTTCCTGAAACAAGTTTTGTACTTTAACAATAATTTCTCATCACTTTCAGACACAAATACAGAATGTTTTGTTTTTGTTTAGATAGTCACACTTTTTGTTAACCTCTGAATCACAATGTCTTCTTCTCTTTCTCCTTCTTTTTCTCCTTCTTCTTCTTGTTCTTCTCCTCCTTCTTCTTCGGTGGTGGTGGTGGTGTAGAAGCCTCAGGGTCGGCCATCTTTCTCAGAGCTACTGGAGGAAATCAGAAAACTGGCAGAAAATCCGGATTAACACACAAACACGTCTTTTACTGTTTATTATTTTACTGTTTATTATTTTACTGTTTATTATTTTACTGTTT